TGGCGGGGCGGGCGGAGAGGCGGCCTGCTGCGGGCCGAGAGGGCTGAAACCGTGAGTCCTGTCGACAGGAGCTGGGGTGAAGAGGGCGCAGGGCCAGGAAGGATTTATGGCAGCCTTGCTCTTTGCCCCTCTTTCTCAGTTAGCTCTTCTTGGGAGGAAACCGATCCGGGGCACAGGAGAGAAGCCATTGAGTTGCCCTGGCCTGGTTACCAGCCGCTCAAGGTGCATTCAGCTCACAGCATAAGAAACCTTAAAAAATCCAAGGCCCAGCTCGTCCTGCTCCGTTTTTACAGCCTTGATGTCATTTTCTCCTCACCATGGCCTGGCCAGGTGGGACTGCTTATTAACCCCATTTTGAAGGCGAGGAAACCAAGGTGTGAGTGGCCAGCGACATGCTTAAGGCTACACTGTCTGGTGAAGATAGGGGTGGGGAGACCTGAAATTTGAATAAGAATGGAGAAGTGTGTGTGTGTGTGTGTGTGTGTGTGTGTGTGTGTGTTACAGACACAAAGGAATTGCAGAGTGTCTGTCCAGGTTGTGGAAAACCAGAATGTCAGAAATGGCGAAAGACTATTTCCTTTAGCTGGCACCTGGGGTCAGAGTCAGGGAAAGGGAACTGCTAGGGTGAGACCCGGCTCTGCCCACTTCCCAGCTCTGTTCCCCTGCTCCAGCTGGCTCCCTGTGCCTCAGGCCTTCTCCAGCCTGCCTCTGCCTGCCCCTGGGGGTGCACACAAGTGCTAATGTCACTCTCAGTCCACTGGGCAGGGGCTTTGTCTCTCTCCAGCACCTGCAGGTGCTTAATTTGCAGAGGAGGCCTCAGAAACCTGACTGGCCCAGGAGTGGGGAGGCTAGGCAAGCTGCACTCTGAAGGCTTACAGGAGAGTTTTATTTGCCTATACAGTTTTTGTTTGCTTGCTGTTTTAACTGAATTAAGTGTCATACTTAAAATTTAGTACATAAAAGTGGACACAGTGGCATGTGCCTATATCCCAGCTATTTACAAGGCTGAGGCAGGAGGATCAGTTGAGTCTGGGAGTTTGAGGCTAGCCTGGGGAACATACTGTTGAGACCCCAGTTTTTAAAAAATTCACATGTCAAAAACTGGCTGTTGCTGGACAGCAGCTCCCTTCTTACAGGAGCAGTCTCTTCCTATGGTGTTCCAGGCTGTGTTGCTCCTGTAGTGTCCTCAGCCCTCAGGATGGGGGGGGGTTCATTAAATGAATGCTCTTCACTTTGTGTGTGTGTGTGTGTGTGTGTGTGTGTGTGTGTGGTGCTGGGGATTGAACCCAGGACACTTCATGATGAGCTTCATCACCAGCCTCATTTGTTTGGTACCAGGGAATCAAACTCGGGACTTTGTGCTTTTGAGGCAGGTGGCGACACCACTCAGCTAAATCTCCAGCCCCAAATTTATTTTTAATTAAAAAAAGTTCTGGGACAGACTGTCACTGAGGCACTAAACTGCCTAGGCTAAGCTCAAAGTTGCAATTCTCCCACCTCAGCCTCCCAGGATGCTGGGATTACAGGCGTGCATCCCCCTCACATTTCTTGACTGTTGGTTTTAGCGTTATCTTCCCCTAATTTTTTTCTTTTTGGTATTGGGGAATCAGATTCAGGGCCTCTTGCGTGCTAAATAAATGCCCCACGTCTGAGCTATGGCCCTTCTGTCCTTGATTTTGAAAATGGAAGCTTCGTCTGCCCTTCGGCACTCATTAGAACCTTGGGGCAGGCGGCTGGCAGCGCCTATGGAGCCCCCTTCACTACCCAAGTCAGGCCCAGAGCTGTGACAAGGAAGCACAGTGCTCCCTTAGAGTTTTATGGCTCATGTTAATCTTCACTTTCTGCTTGCCAGTGTTTATTATAAAACAAACTTCATCTTGCAGATAACAACCATAAAATACCATTTTTAACCTCAGAGGTTATCAATTTTACCTTGATTTTATTAGTATATACTGTGAAAAAAACAAACATTGCTAATAAGAATATATATTTGCACTGCCTCTGGAGGAAAATTTGACTACAAAGGTCAAAATTCCTAATCCCTCTCTCTTTTTCTTCCTTTCTTTCTTTTCTTTCCTTCTTTCATTTCTCTCTCTCCCCAGTCTTTCTCTCTCTCTTCCTCTGCATTGAGGGTTCAGCTCATAGCATTTGCTCTGAGCTACCTCTCTGGCCTTTTACAATTTATTTATTTATTTAAAAAGTCACAAGGCGAGGGATTTAGCTCAGTTGTTCCGGTGCCTCACAAGTGCAAGGTCTCGAGTTCAATCCCTGGTACAAAAAAAAAAAGTCACCAAGTTGCCCAGGCTGAGCTCAAACTTTCAGTCTTACTGCCTCGGCCTCCCAAGCACTGGGATCACAGGCATCCGCCACCATGCTTGGCCCATTATGTGTTTTTTGTGGAATGCGCAGTGTCCCAGCTGTGCACACTGGAAGGAACCTGAGGCAACTTGAATCATGGAGCCAGCAGAGACTGAGCTGGTAGTGTGTGCCCCTCAGGGAAAGGCCCCATGTTCCTCTCAGATGCAGGGTGCTGAGAGGCAAGATGGATAGTGTCCTGCCCTCTCAAAGCTTGGACTAGGCTGAGGAACCAAGTGGCCAAGGGCACAGAGAGGAGAAACTGCTAGCCCAGCTCCACATTGCCCTGGCTTGTCCTCTTCAGAGGCTGGCCAGTTGCTAGTCTCCAGGTTTCAAGCTGTGCAGGGGAAGGAAAGCGGGAAAGGCTGCCTGGCTCTAGGCCCGGCACTTACTTTGAACGAGGCTGGTGCTGAGTGTGACCTGCCCAGGGCTGTGCCTGGGCAGTGCGAACAGGAGAAGCCATTCGCCCTGAAATCAGAGAGCCTCGACTTGAAGTCAGAGCGACACACACCCCATCAGCAACTCCATCACTAAAGCACTCCCTGGACTCTGTTCTCAGAAGGCTATACTTTCAGGGATCTTTTCTATAGTTGGTTACTAGAGAAGTCTCTCTGATGGCGCAGAGTACGAGGAACCACGCGGGGGAGGCGCAGTGTTCCTTCCTGAATGTGAAGCCGGCTCTTGGTGTTGCTTTGCTGCGACTGCCACTTGCCATGGATGATCGTTCCTGCTGTCTCCCAGGAGGAGCTTGGGGGAAGGGACACAGTCTGAGTGGTCTGTTTAACCTTAGTTGTTAAGAATAGTGTAATTTTTCTGTTTTGTGTTTTTTATGAGGTAGGCAAGAAGTAGTGAAGTTACTGAAGTTAGAGCTGCTTCCTGTTCTAAACAGTTTCAACCTGCTGTAGGTTAAAACGACTCATTTTCAGCATATGTCATGTCTTTTATCATGCACTAAGCTAAAATCAAGGTGTATCAAAGAAGTATATGTTTAAACAGATGCATTAAGCTTGCTGGGAGATCGATTAAATTAAGTAGGGTAGAAAAAAAAAACAACAAAAAAAAACGAGAGAACTGTGTTCTCAGAACTGCCCCAGGGCCCAGGTCAAGTCTGAGCCCAGCACAGGGGGGCCTCGCGAACAGCAGCTCCTGCTATCATTTCCATGTGTTCTTTAAAACCGGCCTTCCCTCCACGGCCCTTCGGAAGCAGCGAAAATAGTGTCTTCTGCCACTTACTGAGATCGCGTGTGTACCAGACCTTTCTGTGCGCTTTGCGTACGTTAATTCACTGAATCTTCACAGCAACTCTTTTCTTTTGACACAGAAGCGATTATTTTACAGATAAGCAAGCAGAGAATCGGAAAGGTTAAGTAACTGTCACTCGTCCGAATTGGACAGAGCGTGGCCTCCAGGCGGGAATCGGAAATCCATGGAGGCGCGGGCAGCCGCAGGGCCCAGAGCGGCCACGGGCGAGAGGTGGCGAGTGCTTGCGGTTGGA